CCACGGCTCGTGCTTGTGGCGGGGCCGCTTTCCGCGTTCAAATCGCCCCTCAGCTCGGCTTTCCGTAGCAATGCACGTTTGATGAAACGTCACGTTTTACGAAGCGCCTTTCTGACGGTAAAACTCACGGCCCTAAGGGGCGAAGAGGTGACGCGCTGCCTGCCGCGGCCCCGGTTGTCCGGGTTTTTTTCTGCTGACGTCCCGCCCGTGCTCACGGTAAATGCGGCGGTGCTGGCTAACGGGGGCGTCCGGTGCCACGGGGAGGGCTGGGACGTCCTCGCCAAAGCAGCAGGCTGTGATGGGCAGTCCGACAAATCAACGTGCTCACAAGAGCCTAGGAGGGGATACAAAACCCGTGGATTATCAAGTCGCTTAGATAAATTAGGTCCTGGTGAGTCTCACGTTAAAGATGCTGAAACGTAAGGGCTCGGAGTGTGGGCGCGAGCTGTTATTTCTGAGGATCGTGGAGGACGAATGAGGCACCAGCGGCTGTAAAAAGACAAGTATGGTGTCTCTTTGAAAAAGGAAAAAAAGACCAGCCATGGCTTTCTAAACAAGCTTTATTGCTGGAGAAATGGGAGAACCAATTAAGTGCTTACAAGGATCCAAGTTACAATAATGTAAAAATGAATAGCCAGTATGGATTTTAGTACAGCTGTGGGCAACAAAGGAAATTCTGTTCTGTAGCAGGGCAGTGCTCTGTGTATGGGTAGAAAAACAGCAGATATGAGGTTCTTGACGCTAGCTCATGTAACGTTCTCAAACGCAAGGCAGGAATGGGACCTCGAAAGGTGATGGACGGTGAGCGTGCAGCTTGCTGCAATGCCGCACTCTAAAAGCAGTTACTAACGATTCAGTGTCTGACGGCAAGGACATACTGAGTGGGGTTTTGCAAGATTTTTGTCTTCGGTCAGAGTCTAAGTAGTATTTTGATTAGTGCCTTGATTAGGCTGATTGACTGACTTACTGACAATATGACTTATTCTCTTTGTAGAAAACAGAAAATTTGGGGGGCCCACAGACTGTCAGAGGACAAGACAGAGGTCAAAGTAATCTTAAATTGGAGAAAGTTTGAAAAAATGGGTTAATTTAATTAAGCATGTATGCTAAGTCCCTTTCTTTGGTAAGATAATTCTTAAAATACAAGGAGAATGACTGGCTAAACTCCAGGTCCACCTGAAAGGATACGAGACTTAGATCATACACTGAACATGAACGTGCAAAATCAGGTGTTGCAACAGAAGAAAATCATACAAGATGTATAAACAAAATCTTGTGTGTCAAACGTGTTGTGATAATATTTATCTTTCTCTCAGCACTGCAGTACTGCAAGCACATAGGGGCAACACACTGCAAGAAAAAAACCCACAAAAGTGGATAAATGGGAGGGATTAATTTACTAAGAAAGACACGTTAGTCTACAGGGAAAAAAAAACAGTGGAAAACCTGGAGAAACAGAATATTCTGTTCTGTGTGGGGTAGGTGGGGGAAGTAATAGGCTTATGTTGCAGCAAGAGAAGCTTTAACTTAAAGGAGAGGAAAGCTTTCCAGTTATAAAGGTAGTTGAGCCATGGGCTGGATTGGTGAAGAATCTATAGAATCTCAGTTGTCAAGGTCTTCAGTTTAGTTACCCCAAAATCCCGAGTGCCAAGGAGAACGACTATGGTCCCCTTCAGCCCTGATGTCTGTGAAGAATATGTATCTAAGGGATAGAGTATGTCTGAGCTCTCTTCAATTCTGGAGGCTGTTCTGGCAGGGATGCTCAACAGCTGGCTTGCCTGTACAATTTGCCAGCGGTCTCATTAGATTTCTTGGAACTAATAAAAATGTATTAAACCTGGCAAAAATAGTGACATATGCATGGAAGGATTTTTTTTAAATTAATGCTTTTTTTAGTTAAAAGCAAGCTTTTTTTTCTTAGATTGCATATAATCCAAGTTTTATTGTTAGACAGCACTTGTGCGGTAGGCTCCCAGTATCACTGGTGGCGTATTAATGAATGGTTTTAGTGCAAACATTGATTATTCAGAGGGCAGAATGAGATTATGCCACGGGAAACGATACTTGTTTAATTTCAGAAAGATCAAACATAGAAAGTTAAAGTTTAGTCATTGCATTCTGGTACAGCAAAAAAGCCTTTGTCATAGTTCTGCAAGGCTTTGCATATTTAGTAGTATTCAGCCGCCTTGCGTCAGTTCAGTCAGGTTTTTATTGCTGTTGGAACATTACATTTGTTTCTCATTGCTTGTCAGTTGTTTTTGAATTTTTTTGGGGAGGAGATGTTAACAAACACTGTTGTTCTTCTCTTTAGACGGATCTGGCATTTAAACAAAAGCAGAAGGAAGAGCAAAAGAAACTTGAGGAGATGAAAGCAAAGGCTGCTGGAAAAGGGCCCCTCAGTAAGTGAGGTGCCATACTGATAGGAAAAATTGAGGGCTTGCTGGCTTCAAAAATGTCATGGTTTTGCTTGACAAACATAAAAAGGCATGTACCTCTAGGTTATTTAACATACACCAGTAAGTCGATGGAAAGTGGAGATGATAAATAACAAATAAAGGCTAATTTTTTTTTTCTTTCACCATGCAATTTCACCCCCAAGTTACTGATGCAGGTTCTGGTTTAGCAGGTATAGCAGTGTCTGTGGCATGCTAACCTATTCCAGTGGGATGGTGCAGAGACATTTCTACTCTTATTTTAGCATACCATCCTTTTCTTTCCAGATATATTACATGTAAGCTTTGCCACAGTCCTGAAAGTTTAACAAATCCAGTACTTGTTCTCTTAGAGGATGAATTTCTTGAAGAGCAGTAGATCCCTGGCAGAAAAAAAACCAAACAAAAGAACAACCTGTGACTCGAAATTAGTCTGGATTCAAGGCTTTTGCCTAAGCAACTGTAAAGTACGCTGTATCACAGAAGAAAGTTTGCAGGGTGCATCTCGATGGTGCATCCAGCCTAGTCTTTGTCTCAGACGGTGGTAGTAGGAGACTGTTAATGTGAGTCTGTGCACTCCTCCAGCGTTTGCAGTGGTCGGATTAGGGATGTTAAAGGGTACACCCTGCCTATACTCTCTAGGTGTTTTTGACCTGTGGTCCGTTAATGTGACTAATCCCTTCTCCCTTCTTTGAAGACCATTAGACTTTGCACTTCGCTTCGTATTCTTTAGCATGCTTTAAATCTTGAAAGGTCCTAGAAGGACCTTTCCAGGAATCCCATAAAAACTTAGTTTCATTAACAACCTTTGCTATGCAATCTTGTCAGATGCTGTTTGAAAATATGAAATCCCCTGGATTCACTTTATCCATAGACTTAATTATAACCTCATAGAGTTCCAGCAGGTCAGTGAGGAAGGATTTACCATTTACAGAAGCCCTGTTAACTTTCACAGGACTGTGTTTATCCATTTGCTTTGTTACAGACTCTGTTATCTTCTCAGAGATCAAGGTCAGACTCCCTGGTCTGCAGTTCCCCAGTTCTTTATAGAACCCTTTCTGTATCTGGGAGCTATGCTGGCAGTCTATGAGTCCTATGACATAGTGGCTGTAATGATGTTTCAAATCTTAGCCAGCAGTTCTGCAATTTCACATTAGAGCTTGTCAGTACTCTCGGAGGGAGTGCCATCCAGTCCTACTGACTTGGGATATTTCTTGTTTATTTATCTCAAACTGATCTAGCTCCTCTGATTTATTGACGTACAAAAAATGTGCTGGATGTGGGACTCAGAATGTCTTTGGTGTAACAGACCAATGCAAAACAATGCGCTGAGCCTCTCTTCTGTGTCCTTACCATCCTAAACTTGTTCTGTGTAGGGCGCTTCAGCTTACAGATTTCTTCATTGTTCTTTCCTGCCGTTATTACTCTGCCTTTTTCTAGACTGAATTTCAGTCATCTGGTCCTTGTCCAATGCTTGCCAAAGCAGATAGTGATTATTATGTTATTGTGGGAGGGCTAGGCTATTCCCGAGAGCCTCAGCAAGGCAATGCTGTTAGAATCCTATTGCAGTGCAAAGTCTGCTGTTGACTGTCAGCCCTTGCAGCCTATCTTGCTGTAGGCTTGCTATTCTTTTTTCCTTTTCACTGGTCATACATGACACATGCTGTAAAAACCAGCATTTGCAAAAAATGCTGCACTTGTTGCCGTGTTAATATGTTTTTTTTTCTTTCACCTTGCTTTAGTCTCTTCAATAATAGGGACTGCAAAGAACAGAATTCCAGAGAACTGGAATTCTCATAATTCCAGTATCTGCTTCTGTAAGGCTTTGATCCCAACTGGGGGCTCTGGTTGCTGTAGGGATGCCGATGCTTTTATTTCCTTAGCCTTGAATTTGATTGGACCAGACTATACTCCTGCTGTATAAGAAGTAAACAATGGAGGGTATCCATGGAGGGACAAAGGAATTGTTGAAATATTTTGTTCTGTTGTAGATTTATGGGGCATATTTGGTTCCAGGAGAAACTTGGTTTCTAATAAGTTATTTATTCAGAGTAAAGTTTGTGAGATCACAAACACAGAAGACTAACACATGCAAAAACAATTCACCAGTGGGGATCTGAGTTGTACAAGCAGTCTAGTGGGGATTTGATTTTATGAGGAACTAAATTTGTAACTAAGCTCTGTAACAGTTGTCTAACCAGTTGTGTTGTTTCTTTTGGCAGCTAGTGGTGGAATAAAGAAGTCTGGCAAAAAGTAGTTTGATCAAACTGCAGGGTAAGAAGTGATCAAGTTACTCGATGGATCTGCAGACTTCAGAGAGCCACGAAAACTCGCTGTAATTTGGGAAACATTGTACATTTTGTTTAGTCAGAATAAATCTTTTTGTTAAGATGTAATATTTTCTCTCTTTACCTGTAGGTTTTGTTTTCAAAATGGCATTACTGTTTTGTATTGGAAATGAAACTTCTGCTGAAGACCACTTGTGACCTTATGCAGCCTGTGAGTGCATCTGCTGGTTTGGTAGTCACTTGTGAGAATAAATTTCAATTTCTGCTCTCTTTCGACAATGGGAGTCAGGGCCTGAGTGTTAAAATCTGCAGAGTTTGAATCTGGAGGCTCAGGCTTTTAGCTGCAGCTGTCCAAGATGTGGCTATATCAGCATGTGTTCTCCTAAGAGCTAGGAATTTTCTCTAAACAAAAGGTTGGGTTATACTCCCGTCACCAGCAAAGTGGTTACCTTAGGGTCAACCACTATCAAAAACAATACTCCTTTTCATAGTTACTACATAGGTACGCTGTGGTGCTGTGCCCTATGGTCCCAGTGGCTGCTGAACATACACTTGCCTTTGTCCTACAAATAGTCACCTACACCTTCTTTTCCTTGAACTTCTGCATACTGACAACATCACAGCTCCTTTACACTCACAGCAACGCCTTGGGGGAGGGCGGGGAGAAGGGCACAGTGCTTATGGGAGTAGAACTTAATTTTTGAAATTAATAGCAGTGACGGTACACTGGGTATGGAAACTTCAAGGAAGGAATACGATGTTCCCGAGGCAGGAGTTAAGGGGAGTTGACATAGGGTGCTTCTTACCTGAGTGACTGGTAATGGTGGGATACAGAGTGCTCCCTCTTTCAGGAGAGGCAGCTGTTTGCTGCAGGTGGGGGATCGCTTCTGCAAACGACCGGGCACTCGGGCTGCCTCTGCGGGGGCTTGCACGGTAAATCTGAAGAGACGTTCTGGGCTCATAGGGAAGAGGCTGTGGGTGCTGGCTGTGAGCGCGCAAGGTGCTACTCGGAGGGTTTCCTTGTTAGATGTTTCTAGAGCGCTGGGGGCGTCACCTTCTGGGGGTGACCTCAGGGGACACACCATTCCTCTTGAAACACGAGGCCCTGTTTCCGCAGGGCAGGGAAGGCAGGTGCCCTCGACACCTGGAAGAGGACGGGGCAGGCCTTTCCCCCGGCG